ATATGGCAGAGACAGGGGTTACAAGATCAAGGACAGCCAAAGCAGTTAATTCACCTCTATGGTATGTCTATGTTTCTAGGCTATTTCTTATATTTCCCCTTTCAATGACTGCAGCACCTGAGCATCTCGTAATCTACAATGTATTTATCCTAACCACTCGTGTGAGGAAGAACAACTATTCCCCATTTTACCAATTGGGGAATTGAGGCAGAGTCCATGTGACTCACCCAGGGTCATACAGGCAGAGCAGGGACTTGAACCCAGATCTCCCACATGCTCAAACCATCGGAGAATCCTTCCTCCCAACAGTCTTTGCTTTTCTTCACTGTTGTCATTTATGCATGGAATGCTCTTCCCCTCCTTCAAATCTCTCACAAAGCTCCACTTTAAACCAACTAATGATGGCTCAGGCAAGGGGCAGTTGGAATGCTGCATGTTGTGGCAAACTATTTCACTCTGGGATGTTCTTGAAATGGATGTGGTAAAGCACTTTTCTCAAGATGCCCCTATTTTCACTGGGCAGGGTCCTTTCTAAATCATGGCTCCCTGGAAGGACAGAAGAGCCCCAACATAGTAGTAAAAGCTTCTTCACTATTACAAAAAAAACCCACTTCAACATAACAGTTTCAAAGACCTATTTTAACACAATCCACCTGCAATTTATTTTTTCAATGGGTCCCTTAAGACTCCTTAACTGTACAAGCTCTGGATATCTTGTAATAACCACTATATTTTACCATCCACTGATGACACTGGGTCCTAGGAGTAAAGCCTGGGCTCGCAACAAAAAGAGGGTCATTTAACACCAGCTTTACTTTGTAGGATTCTCTCAATGTGTGTTTAGATTCTCTCCCCCTCACCCCCCAAAGTCTCTCCAACTTGCTTTCTCTGCAGACTACAGAAACAAAATGCTGTGCCAGATAACTGTCTATAGAACAGGGGAACAGGAGCTAAAAGGATTTATTATTTTATATAAACCCTCATACTATTTCACACTGGGATTTAACCTTGCAATAGGAAGAGAAACAAAGCCCCATATTATTTCACAATGGGACTTTAACCTTGCAACAGAAAGAAAAACGTTTGCAATTATTGCATCCTCTAAGGAAGAAAAACTGGAAGGCTTTGTGCCATTTTGCACTTCTGAAGCATGTGCATCTGAAAAGAACCAATAATGCTATATAGCCAGGGGAGAAAAATCTAGTGGATGATTTCCTCTTCCCCTCACCCAGGACGAAATAATTGTAGGATCAGGGCAAATCAGAAAGGGATTGAAGTGAATGTGAAAGTGGGTGGTGGTGCTCAGTATTGATTATATTGCTAATTGTGTAAAATGTCAGTGCTAGGGAAACAAACTATGGCAAACCCACTGTCCATATGATAATTTTTTTCTGTAGCTATTTAAAGGGATAATATATGAAAAACCCCATTGAAATAAAGATCCTGACCCCATATTACTCAATACTTTAGATTTCTGGAAAACAGCATGAATGTTAAAAACAAAGTTTATTATACACTATTGATGCTTTGTTTTTCATTGCTCTCTTCATGGGTTGTTAAATCAGACTGAACAGTTTAAAGGCAATTTCACCTTCTGTCTCTGTTAGGCACAAAGCTACCATATTTGGGTTGCAAACCAGAACAGCTTTTTTTTTGTTTTAATTAAGATTTTCATTGGATTTTTAAAAAAAATTGTATTAGCCTCTGGATTTGTAAAAGTTTGATTTTCAAAAGCCTACCTTTGGGGTCAAAATTGATCAACAGTGTCCTTTTAACTAACTCCAACATTGAGAAACAGTACATTATAGAAACACAAAGGCCCCAATCCTGCAGCTGACTCCATACAGGCAGACCTTTGAGCCCCATTGTCTTTGATGGAGGCTTTGTGTGGGTGAACTCAGAAGAGCTGGATTCTATTCCTGGCTCTGCCACTGGCCTGCTTAGTGATCTTGGGCAAGTTACATCACCTTGGTGCTTCACTTTCCCCATATGTAAAACAGGGATAATGATACAGACCTCCTTTGTAAAGTGCTTTGAGATCTACTGATGAAAAGGCCTATATAAAGAGCTAGGTATTACATTTAGAAATAGGGATTCTATTTATAGTTTATGAAGGATGAATACATTAATAGATGTTTTAATATATGGTTAATTGTTATAATTACACAGTCCAACAGGTTGCTTATAACCATCCATAACATACTACTCATATGTGTCCCATGCTTATTCGAGCTGAATGAACAACTGATTTTTCAGTTTGCTGGCAGTTCTGAAATACGCCCCCGAAAAATTCTGTTGGGATTTAATGGACAGAAGTGGTGATGAGCACCTTAACTAGTGGGCTATAGAGTTAGTCTCACTCTTTTTCCCTGGCCCAGTGATTACCGTCATTCATAGTGTCAATTCATAGACATTGAAGTCACAAGTTTAAATCCCTGCTCCAGTGTCTAACTATTTATAAAAAGTGGAATAGCAACAGGAGAGATCGACACCCGAATAGCCCGTAGCCCTGCGGCTAAGGTGCTCTCCTGCTATGTGGGAGACCCAAATTCAAATCCCTTCTCCACACCAGGCAGAGGGGGTAACTGACCCTGGGTCCCTTATACCAGATGTGTGCCCTAACCACTAGGCTAATAGTTATGAGACCACCACCAATTCCTCCTCCCTCATACCTCTATCTTGTGAATGGCATATAAATCCCAGGAAAAAAGCCCAGATGAACCTATTTGGCAAATTCATGTGAAATTCACAAATAGTTGTGGGTCTCCAGAAGCTTCATTTTTCAGCAAATAAACTCTTCATCCAAAAAAAAAAAAATCACCGAGCTTTAATGCTTTACAACATCTGTTACTCATTTAACTCTTTATGCCATTTATAAAATGGAAGTTGATATTAAGTATCTCCATATATAGTTTAATATTAATTAGGCTATTGGCAACTTTCCTAATTAACAAATTCTGGATGAGTAATTTAAGTAGGATAAACTTTAAGTATGAGTATGATAATTTAAGTACGAGTAGGATAAACACTCAACGTAAGCATTTTTTAATAGAAAATTTCTAATAAAATTGGAAATCTCAGTAGTCCCTATATTCTCATAACTATACCAAACATCTCAGGATGATGGGCAAAGCACTGTAGACCTACAGAGAGAATGAATTGGGGGGTGGGGAGGAGGAGAGAAAAAACACACAATGGGCCAGATTCACCAAAGCAGACCGGGACATAGTAATTACTCTTCCCTCTGACAGCCTGGCTCCATGCTCTACTGGGGAATTTCTGGGAGCAAATGCAGTATTGCCATTTCTCTCCGGGAGCAGTAAGTTTTGCAAGGTAAGGGTAGCTTTACTTAGGGTACGTCTACACTGCAATTAAAAACTCATGGCTGGCATGGGCCAGCTGACTCGGGCATGGATGACGGGGTTGTTTAATTGTGGTGTAGATGTTTGGGCTGCAGCCCAAGCTCTGGGATACGCCAATGGGGGTTTAGAATATGCACTGCTACACTGCAATTAAACAGACCCGTGAGCCCAAGTCAGCTGGCATGGACATGCTGCAGATTTTTAATTGCAGTGTAGACATATCCTCAGTGGCCAGCGCTACATAGGTGCTAGGACAGCAAAGGCTGCTGACAAAGGTGAAAGTAAGCCGGTACGCCCCGGTACGGTGTACCGGCAAGAGCCGGTGCGCTGTACCAGGACTAGCTTTCCCAGACAGCAATTTAAAGCCCTGGGGTAGTGGCGGCAGGGCTCTGGTGGGGATTTAAAGGGCCCAGGAGCTCCAGCCACCGCTACTGCCCCGGCCCTTTAAATCCCCTCTGGAGCCCTGCTGCCGAAGCCCTAGGGTAGCAGTGGCGGGGCTCCAGAGGGGATTTAAAGGGCCGGGGCGGTAGCGGTGGCTGAAGCCCCGGGGCCCTATAAATCCCTGATGGAGCCCAGCCGCCACTACCCCAGGGCTCAGGGAGCAGGGCTCAGATGGGGATTTAAAGGGCTTGGGGCTCTGGCAGCCACTACCACAGCGGAGCCCCAGGCCCTTTAAAGCTCTGCCAGAGCCCAGAGCCCCGGGCTAGCGGTGGCAGCCGGGAGTCCCCAGGGCTCCTCAGTGATTTAAAGGGCCTGGGGCTCTGCTGTGGTAGCGGCAGCTGGAACCCTGGGCCCTTTAAATCACCCCCAAGCCCCGGGGCTCCCAGCCACCTTTGCAGCTGGTAGCTCGGGGGTGATTTAAAGGGCCTGGGGCTCCCAGCCACCACTACTGCAGCTGGAGCCCCGGACCCTTTACATCAAGATTTAAAGGGTCTGGGGATTTAAGGTCCTGCCGCTTCCAGTTTAGGCCACGCCTCTTCCGGTTGAGGCCACGCCCTCTGCTCCGGACTCCGGTGTATTGGTAAGTCCTTTAATTTACTTTCACCCCTGGCTGCTGAGGAGTTGGGCTGTGTTGACTCTAAAGGCCATCTGACCAAGATAAGGTTATAGATGCGCTCTATCCCTAAAAAGAAAAGGAGGACTTGTGGCCCCTTAGAGTAACAAATTTATTTGAGCATAAGCTTTCGTGAGCTACAGCTCACTTCATCAACTTTCTTCTATCAAAGCCCCTTGTCTGGGTGTAAGCCAGCAGAAATCAGCCTAAAGCCAGATTAGCTGTGTTTGATATTTATGAGATTCAAACCAGTTGATTTTTTTTCATTTTTGTAAGTGGAAGTCCAGCTGGCTTTCCTCTCTACTCCTATCTTCTTTGTTAAAACATGTTTATGAAAAAAAACCAAAAAAAACCATACATGCCCTTTGAAAATGTTCATATGCATATAAAAAGCTAATTATACTTGATCATTCAAACAGATTCAGCATAAATCCTTATGTGTGACATGATCATTTTCTTGTAGCCTTATTTTTACAGCATTTCTGTATTGGTATTAAGCCAGGAGCGCCAAACACAATCCTTTAGGATGCCAAGTCGGTGCAGGAAAGGACAAATTCAAAAGCTTAAATGAGACATCTCAAAACTGCATCAAGGAAGAATTTATTAGAGTCAAGGAAAATATTACATGTGGTCACTGTACATTGATGTTCATAGTTAAAGTGAGACTTTGCTATGAACTTATACTAAACCTATCACGGTGCCTTCTGGCTAGTCTTTAGGTTGACAGATTCAGGCTAGCTCTCTAAAAATAGCGGTGTGGACAGCGCTTCAGAACTGTGGCTTGGGGTTTGAAGCCTACCCCTTTCTCCCTAGGCTGTGGAGCCTGAGCTCCAGCTGAAGTCGCAACTTCAAAGAGCTGTCTACACAGCTATTTTTAGAGTACTAGCACAAATCAGCACTAGCATGAGTCCATCGAGCTGGGCTGGCAGGCTCGCTGCCATGGGCTACATACTGATTATTTCTAATTCTGTGCCTGTATTTGGCTAACTTATCGGCCATTAAAAATATCGTTTTATAAAGTAAAGAAGAATGATTGTCCTTTCCATATGAGAACTTCTTTCCAAATTGGGAAGCGGTTAGATGACTCCATTAAAAACTTTAATTCCAGGTGAAAACTGTTGTGTGTGTTTGTTTGGGGGTGGGGTGTTCAATTATCCTGTTTCTTAGGCTAATGAGAAATCACAATATATACCATTATAGGCTGCACACTGCATGTATCAATGTCCAAGTTAAGTGCAGCAATGGACTTCAGTTTCTAGGTCCCAAAATATAGTAACCAAGACACAAAAATAAATTCACCAGCAAGTGCTGGATCTCTCTTCTGCAGCCTCTTCCAATCATCCATGACATTGGAGGAAGTTGCCTATTTTACCTACATGGCTTAAGTTTCTTACAAGTAATATATGCAGGAACATCTAGGCCCAAAGTGGGAAATAAATACATGTTTTCTAAATAATTGTCATTTTTAACCTTATAATAGTGGTAACTCAGAGACCCCTGTCCTCCACGCACTCTGTGCTATCAAATGAGCAGTTCTCGCCTTCAGGTGCTGTCTTGAAAAGTCCATAGATGGCTCAAGAAAGTCTCCTTGTTGAGCACTAGATGATATTTCCATTTCCAGCAAAAGCCGTTGATGGGTTTATTTTCTCCAATACTAGAAAAGAAGACAAACACAGTAGGACATTTATTCAGCTTTGATATTCGCAGAAAATCAGTTAAGTGTAATTGTACTCTGGGCTGTAGATTTCACAACTCCATAAAATGCTTAAAGGCAGGTGAACCTCATGACCCTTAGCAGAACAAATATCTATGAAACACACTCTGTTTATGTTAGTTTTTCCACTTGACAAATTGTGTGTGCTGGATGAAAACTTTCTCCCCGGCATCTGAGGCATTTCATTGGGTTTACAGGGTTTGCTTTTCCAAATTGGAGAACAAAATTGGAACTTGGCAGCAAATGAGAAAGGGGCACCATCTACCACAGATTTGAGATGCAACATGGGATGCTGCCAAGGCTGCTAACTAAGCCCACAGTGCTTGAGAAACCCAAAAGCAAGTCACCCAAATATGATTTAAATGCAGCTTATTCCCACTCATCCCAAATTAAAACCCTGTGACTAAGTCTTTGAACTGTTTTGCTACAAAAAATTGTAAAGCTGTACTGAAGAGTTGCAAACATGAAAATGCTGAACAGTGCTTAACATAACAATCCTGAAATACAACTGACTGAGTTTGTAATTTATAAGGAAAAAAAAATTAAATAATATGGTAACTTCCTCAACTGGAAATGATCAAATCTCATTTCTACTATTTTCAATCTCTATAGACATGGGGACTGCTGCTAAAATGAAAATAACCATCTCCAGAGACAAGGATATTTAGTCCTTTATAAATGTGAATTGAAATTAATATGTGCATCCTCTTCTCTTGAACAGTTACTACACAAATATATTACACTTTCTTGAGGCAAACTGTATTTAAGGGACATTCAACAAGAGAAGATTGAGATACTGAAAATGGAGATATTAAAAAAAATTATACAGGATCTCAGGTGTTCAAATAGATTAGAAAAAAAACATAGGCGTGTTTTCAAACAAAGAGTCTCCATAACATAACTTCTTTGGATCATGTCTCTTTAAAATGTTGTCATTTATATCAATATATATCACTGCTTCTCAGTAACACAACAGATGCCAAAATAATCAGTTCTCTCCATACAACATGAGCTTTACACACACACACGCACACACACAAAGTGGTGTGCAAGAACACTGAAATACAATTGTTACTACAATAACCAACCTTATTAAAAGCTCTTATATTAACAGGTGAAACAAACAGCACAGACTGCATACTAGTATTTGCAAGTCCATTTTGGAGGTGGGAAGAAAAATAAATCGACAGATGGATAAACAAGCATAAACAAACAACGAACTGAAGGGCATTTCAAACAAAAAATTGCATGGCTTTATGCCAATATCTGCTGTTTAAACAAGTGCCTAATTTTAGACAGTATTTTCAGTTGCTATTTAGAACAATACTATTTGCAATTCATCAAAACAATATTATGACATAAGCACAAACTGAAAACTTCAATTTGGCCATTGTGCAAGATCACTGGTTTATTGTCAATTTAATTGAGTATTAATTGTTCCTTTGTCTACATTTTACAGCGGTAAGTCCTATAATTTTTGTACAGCAACTTCTCCAAAAAGAAAGCTAGACAAAGAGAAAGTTAAACTGATTAACAAGCATTAAACATTACCAGAGGATGTTGTGAAGGACAAGACTATAACGGGGTTCAAACAAGAACTAGCTAAATTCATGAAGGATGGTTCCATCAATGGCATTAGCCAAGATGGGCAGGGATGATGTCCCTAGCCTCTGTTTGCCAGAAGCTAGGAATGGGTGACAGGGAATGGATCACTTGATGATTACCTGTTCTGTTCATTCCCTCCGGGGCACCTGACATTGGCCACTGTCGGAAGACAGGATACTGGGCTAAACAGACCTTTGGTTTGACCCAATATGGCCATTCTTATGTTCTAAGAATGCTCTAATTCCAATTGTAATAACACACAGCTTAGAGGTGAGGTTCTTACATTATTTCCCTTGAATAATTTTTGCAATCACAATTTTTTTTTTTTTAAATTGTCTCGCACTGGGGTTCTCACACCCCAGTCCACCAATGCCTCACTGCTCCTTCAGTCCCCTCTGCCCTCTCATGGCTTTGGACCTTTTTGCATATGAGACCCCAAGCCTGGAAGAACGTCCTAATTAGCATACTCTAACCCCTCTCTTTTCTGCAAAAATATTGCTAAAAATCCATCTGTTCCATGGAAGATTCCCGCTTCCATGACCACACACTCCAGGTTTGTTAATGAGATGCATCCTCACTTGTTTTAGACCGTTTTCTACTCACTCATGTCCTTTCGGTTTACGTGCATGTTTTTCAGAGGCACTGGGCACACACAACTCCCAATCAATGAGAACTAGGTGCTCAGCATCTCAGACAATAGGCAACTGTGGCAGGAATTTTGTCCTACATTTAGAACTCCTTATGTATTACAAAGCACTAAAACCCAGTATACTCCAGTGCCTATTCAGCACCAAGTCTGTTTACATGCACAGGCTAACAGAGGGTGACCAGATGTCCCGATTGTATAGGGACAGTCCCGATTTTTGGGTCTTTTTTCTTATATAGGCTCCTATTATCCCCCACCCCCTTCCCGATTTTTCACATTTGCTATCTGGTCACCCTAGGCTAATATCACTTACCTTGGGAAAATCTAGATACTGAATCTAGGGGAAATATGGAGCTCAGAATTAGAGATGAGGCTGGTAACACTACCGATTAAGGGTGCCTGATACTTTCCATTGTAAGACTTCGTTTTCAGTTCAGTTTCACAGATTCCAAGGCTAGAAGGGACTATTGTGTTTTGCTTATAATTCTGACAAAACTAACTGTTTGGGCAGAAAAATGTAGCCAAAACAGTTCAGCCATTTCCAAGAACTAAGTTAGGGAAAATTACATTGTTACACACATGTTAAAAATTCTGACCAGTTTTTCTTTGGAGCTCTAGCATGCCCTACACAATGGGAAAGGGACTTGACATTTGGCAGAGGTGGCCTTTGTGCCAGGAATGTGCCTTTTGCCATTCTTGTGAAAATCTGCTCAAATTTGGGCAAGTTATAATCCTTACACCCACAGAATCAGTTCCACTATATGCTGCAATATATAGGCATAGTAACAAGGTGAAGGACAAAGCAGCAGTCTATATACTTCTCATCCTATTAGGAACCATTAGTTTCCTGAATCAGGGGCTCTTACAGGTACAGCCCTCAATCAATATGAAAACTGGGTGTGTGCTGCTAAACCTTAGGCCCTGTTGAACACAATTGAAGCCAGCTTTTAAATGCTTTATCATCAAACACGTCTGCAATTTAAAAACAGTGGGTAAATTAAGAAAATAGTAATGAATGAACAAGTTAATTTTTTTTTTTTTAAATGGATGACCAAGATCAAATCTGCAAACTCTGATTTATTAGTGCTGCTTGGAAAATGCATTAGCAGCTAGCTGGGAAATTCTGACAGCCATCTAAGACAAATGAACTTCTATTGCAGACATGTCTACAAAAGGGCTAGCATAATACTTTAAAAAAAAGAAATCTGTTTACACCTATGTGGGTCCATTCAGAATCAAAATCAGTGTTGTAGTCACACCAACTCCCCCATCCAAAAAAAGTGTACAATTCTTTAACTTAAGGTGATAGCTTCTTAATACTTGTACTCTAAGCCCTTGTCTACACTGGGGGGGGGGATCGATCTAAGTTACGCAACTTCAGCTATGTGAATAACGTAGCTGAAGTCGACATACTTAGACCTACTCACCACGGTGCCTTCACTATGGTGAGTTGACTGCTGCCGCTCTCCCGTCGACTCTGCCTGCGCCTCTCGCGGCGGTGGAGTACAGGAGTCGACGGGAGAGCACTCGGGGATCAATTTATTGAGTCTAGACTAGACGTGATAAATAGACCCCCCCCCCGCCACTGGATCGATCGCTGCCCGCCGATCTGACAGGTAGTGTAGACATACCCTTAGGGCCCTGAGCTCAGTTCTTACAAGGAATCAATCATTGCCTGACATCTAGTAATTACAGTAACCTAGAGTGACCAAGTACAAATATGAAAAATTTCTCTTTTTCTCTGCATTTTCCTTCTGTTCACAAATAAAAACAGTCATAATTTAAAAACACATATATTAAGTTAAGCTTATATTGTTTAATCTGTACGACAGGAGTAGTCAATAGGCGGACCATGGGCCAAATCTGGACCGCCAGACGCTTTTGAACGGACCCTGAAATCTTTTTATTTACTTATCATTATTATTATTTTCTCAAGTCTGGACCTTGACTATACTTTGACCAAGAAATTTGGACCTTGACAAAAAATAACTGACTACCTCTGCTATAGCGTAACACACTACTTGAAAATAAAAGATACGAGTCTGCATCAAAAAGAGAATTAAGTGGAACATCTTTTGCCCAAAGGATAGCCATAGAAACAGTCCTCCGCACATGAAAATTACAGTTTGTATTTGATTTTGATCATTCTTTTGGAAAATAAATTTTTCTAAAAATATTTGGAAGCCTGACTGGATTTTTTGAGATCAACATTTCTTGGTTCTTCTCTGAATTGCAAGTTTCCTCATAAGACTAATAGTTAAGGCCAACAGGCAGATTTAAACAAATCCCTGATAAATGTGAGCTAGACAAGTCAGAAAAACATTATGATCTCAAAGATGAACTAAAATGCTTTTGATTTTATTGCACAATGGTATTAGTCATTTTATCACACCCACAACGGACTACAGTCACATTACAACACACACTTTATGTGGCTAAAATTTCATTCTTCACATATGGAAGTGTGCATTCTGATATTAAAAATGATAGCAGGAAAGGAGAATATTCCCCCATGGAGGCTTCAGAGGTTTGTAAAGATAATTAGTTGGAATACACTGTTTAGAAGCCAGCAATAAAAGCCACCATCAACAAAAGTCAGTAGCTGTGGGGGAACCAAAGCAAGAGTAGGAAAATGAGAACTTACTTGCTAAAATTTCTCTTCTTGGCGATATCATGCTCAGGAGTGGCAGGTCCTCCTCTTGCAGGATTCAGAGACAGCACAGAGCTCTGTCCAACAGGTAGACTTGACCCCTAAGGACCCACCCATGCAGAGCCTGCCAAAACAGACTACTTGCAGGACTGAACAGCACTCTCCAAATCAAGAGTTTAGTTGCTCACTTGCTCCTGCAAAGGGAAGACTTTTTTGGGGGCATGTCTTTAAGAAGGCTGTCCCCAGCTGAACACAGTGTTCTACTGCTTCTGAAGTCTGCCAGGGGAAGACATACCTAGACAAGGGGCTGCTGGTCACAAGACAAATGTAACCACACAGTATATTTAACAGAGGAATAACTGACAGAAGATTGCTCTTATTGAACTTTTTTTTCTATTGATTTAATTTTCGTAATGTATAAATAATACAAAGGACTATCTAGCTCATGTTTTGTGAACTGTGAATCTTAAAGCTGTTTAAGATTTCAAATCTTTACTACATAGGCAGAAAATTACAAATAAATACACTTCAAAGCTAAACTCTTGGGAAATCCTTAACTTGCTAAAATATGAGATGGCAGGCCCTTAAAAGTTTCCTCTCTCCTGGTCGAGCCATTGACCATACAAAATTGCAGAACCTTAAGGCAAAGCAGTATCTGTAATGTCATCCATCACTTGGGCAGCTGCTCTGAACTTAACATTTTTTAACCATTTCAAAACTCCTTAAAGCACAGGCTGGCAAAACGTTCATCTCTCTGTTCCCACAGTCAGTCACTCTCTCTACCCCTCTTTTCACCATGAGGCCACAGACAGCCCATCAGTCTGTAGTATCTTACCTGAGCAAACTTGTGTATTTGTTCTACTACAGCTGCAAAGAGAGCGTGGACACTTTCATCAATTAGACTCTGCATGTAATGTACAGCTTCTTCATCAGAGAGGTCCAAACGGAACTTGTCCTGCACCTGGTAGGAAGAAATTAGAAAGATCAGCCCTTTTATGCAGAAAGAAAACTCTGGCCCTGTAATTGTAGAATTCCATTTTTATTATATTTATATACAAACACCTTCCAAGCAGCACAGACAGTTGCCACTGGACTCAGCACAATTGGGGTTGCCAACTTTGATTGGATGAATTCCCAGAGATTTCATCACATGACATTATCTTTGATTTAAGAATTTTTAATTCCTGGGGACTCCAGGACAATCCTGGAGGGTTGGCAACCCAAAGCACAACTGAGCTGCAAACAAGTATCTATGGGCAGAAGAATTCAATCCTATTGTTCTATATGCCTTTCTTGGGGGGAAGGTGAAGAAGGGAAAACATCTGAAAGACCAGCTATATTTAAAATAGAAAGAAAATCCTATTACTGAATCACCTTCTGGGTGTGGTGTTCTGTCCCATCTAGTGGCACTGAGACCACTTAGAGACAGAGATAAAATGAGTCTGCTCTACAGCCTTAGGTAACAGCCATTTGGCTTTTAGCTCATGCAGTAGAGGCTCATGCACTAAGCTCCAGAGGTCCCTGGTTCAATCCTGCACGCTGACGGCCAGGGTTTGGCGGTGTTACAATAATCTAATTCCAAAGCAAAAATAATTTCTCCCAACAATTGAAATCAAATTTTTAAAAAAAAAGTTTTGGAAATCTGATTTTGGTGAAATGGCCAATCTATTAACACAGAGTTTCAAAACAGGCAGCCTACTCAGTGCTCAGCTAGAGCAGTGGGTGTCACTACAAGAACCTACATAAACAGTGGCTATGAGTAAGCGTAGCATTCATTATGAGACACATCAAGTTTGATCTCTACATGTAGGCGAGCAAAAGCTCTTTGTTTTATTGTGAAAATGCAGCTGAAATATTTTGGATGGTCCTAAGAGTTGCTGAAAGCCTGCAAAGTTCCTTTTGCCTAAAGTTAAATTTAGAATAAACTGTCTTTTTGAAAGTGTAAAGCAATTAAGTAAAGAATATGGAATCAGTGTAAGAATGAGCACATTACTCCTATGAAAACTGATCTCCATATGGTAGATGAGAATTTGATTAACTCAGATTACATCCTTCATAGGTAAACAGTGGATTGGAGATACTGCTACTCTTACATGATTTGTTGTTTTGACAGCAGCATATTTTAAATATGGTGCCAAAACGGTTTGCACAGTACTTACAAATTGTACACAAACTAAATGCTGAGAGCATTATAATTAAGGACAAAGCAGCAAAGTGTCTAGCTTTTATTACTAGAGAAATTCTCCAGTTTCCACTTTGTTTTTCTTACCTCTACTCTGAATAAGCAAAAATCACCCCACCCTGAGATGAACACTGCAGACCCTGAGCATGCTCAGTGATAACCTAGGATTTCTAAATGGTGCCCTGGCAAAAAGCCAAGTGTGTGTGTGTGTGTGTGTGTGGACAGGCATAATCACAGCTCTGAGGTAAATGAAAACAATGAGCATGTGAAAGATTGGTAGCTATTGAGCATGTGCAGTAAGGGGTGAGAGAGAGGTCAGTTAACTGAGCACCTAGCTGATCAGAGCCCACTCATATCAGTCAGAACTTGTTTTAAAGGTCAGAGCTGTCAATCAGAACTCTGAAGTAATGGTTGATACTGGGCATGTGTGAGTGAGGTAACTGCTTCTACAACAGAAAGATATATTCGGAGGGAGCTACAAATGTAGCTACAATGTAGCACAAAAGGCCAGCTGCCAGGAGGCAGTTTTGGAGTCTGAGTCTGAGTCAGCGAGAGAGAGAGAGAGAGAGAGAGACGATCGGAAGAAGACAAAAGCCAGGAAGATGAGCCAGAGAAAAAGCTGATGGAAAGAAGCCAGAAAAGCTGCTGCAGAGAGACAGAAAGAAAAAGAAGAAAATCAGAGCAGAGTAAAGTTGATTGACCAGAAACTGTGCAGCAACAGGTTTTTAAAGGAATACAAAAAGGATTTATAAAGTAAGCCTGTTATTCATTTAATTAGAGTATTAGTATAGTGTAGAATAGTATATAGGGTTAGCGTGTGTGTGTTTATAAGAATGCATACGATTCTGTTATTAATTGTAACATATCTACTTAAACTTTAAAGCAATTTAAGAACTGCTGTCAGCAATGTGTTACAAACTGGCCACTTGTAACAAATCACTTTGCTTAGCATTATTTAAATTATATACTATTGTAGTTTGAATGCTCTTTAACTCACAATAAGGGATTGCGTCTCAGGGATTTTTGTGTTTCATTTAGGATTTTAAGTTAGACTGTATTAGGGATTATTATTTACATCAATTCATAGATATTTTGTTTTGGAAAAGAATACTGCCTGTGTCAATTACTTTATCGGAAGGATATATCCATGTCCTTTAATATTTCCTTAACAACCCTTGAAACTTATACCTCGGGAAGAACAGACGAAGTGGGCGATAGGCAGACTATTATAGCAGTGTCCCCAAATCCATTTTTCGAGGTAAAAAATCTCTCTTTTCCCAACCTCACGCAAAAGCTTGACTTATGTACATTTCATAAAGGTGAAATCAATGACTTTTCATAAATGGAGACCATCTCGTTAAGAATTGTTCAGCAGTTGTCAAGACATCAAAATTGCAGAAGTGTCTTCCAAGCACAGACATGTCTTCCCTATATTCAAGCCTTTGTTTTAATTCAGCTGGCAACAGCTTAGCTACACTAGCAAACAGTACCTTGCTTCTCAATAGCATTGGGTGGCCAAGGAACCTAAAGTGCTTTGGAGGCATTTATTAAGCCTCACAACAGCTGGGTTAAAATGACCATTTCACAGATGTGCAGAGTGAACAACTTCGAGGCCAACATCTTCAAAGGAAGTCCCTAAAGTTAGTCACCTAAATATCTGGCCTATTTTTCTCATGTGTTGACCACCTAGTAGCTTTCATCAGTAACTGTGAGTGCTCAGCACCTCAGAAAAATCAGGGCCCTTGTACAGCTGGCATAAAATTGCCTCAGGTGGCTTATCCAAGATCATGTGAGTCCGTACACCTGAGAATACAACCAAGGAGTCTAATACGCTGTCTCTTCTAACCACTACCACTCTTAGCCCTGCTGTTTAAAATTCCCAGTAGCAATTTCACAGGGTGACTAGTCTCTGCAACAATTTGACTAATGTATGCCTACAGGGTACATTTTGAAAGGGCTAAGGTTCAGTCTCTTATTTTGCTGGTACAAATTTACCCCTTCATTTTGTGGTCCTAAAGAATGTTGTGTAACAAATATGAGCACTTGCGCATCTAATTAATAGATATTAGGAGCAGAATGGATCATTGTACTCACTAGTCTTACCTCCTGCAAAACACAGGTCATAGAACCCAAGGAATTTCTGTACAAGCAAATCACTTTTTGAGCTATAAGTATATTTTTTAGAAAGGCACCGTCTTCACTTAAAGACTTCAGGAGACAGAGAAACCTCTTTGTCCCTAGGTAAGTTGTTTCAGTCATTAACTATCCTCATTATTTAAAGACTGTCTTATTTCTAGTCTGAATTTGTCCAGCTTCAGCTCTCAACCACTGGGTCGCATCACACCTTTTTCTGCTAGATTAAAGAGCTGTCCATCATAAGAAATCTCTTTCCATACAGGTATTTATAGATTGTGATCAACTCATCTGTTAACCTACTCTTGGATAAGCTACATATATATTGAGTTTCTCAAGTCTCTCCCTATATGTTTGTTTGCATGACTGAATATTTTCTGTAGCTTTTTTCTGAATCCTTGCCTATTTATCAACATCCTTTTTAAAGACTGGACCATAAGAACTGGACACAATAGAGAGATATTACTTCCCTACTCCTACTTTATATTTCTCTGCTTATACACTCATGATCATGTTTGCCCAATTAGCTACAGCATCATACTGGGAGCTCATGTTCAGTTGATTAGCCACCATTACCCTCAAAGTCCTTTTCAGAATCACTGCACTGCAAGACACTGTTTTGCAATTTGTAAGCGTGACCTTCATTCTTTGTTAGCAGATGTATGACCTTGCATTTGACTTTATTAAAATGCATACTGTTCAAATAAGCACTCTGTACAAACCAATATGGTCATCTGTATAACTGATCTGAGCCCATCACTATTTACCACAATAAGTGTATCTCCTCTGTAAGTTTTATGAGCAATGATTTTATATTTTCTTTCAAATCGTTGATAACAATACTGAACAACAAAGACCCAACAATTATCTGTGGTAACCCACTAGACATACCCCATTTATAGTTACTTTTTTATCTCTAGCAGCTAACCAGTTTTTAATCCATTTAACATAGGCTACATTGATTTTGTATAGTATTACTTTTTTCAATCTGAATGCCAGGCAAGACTAAGTCAATGACTTACAAAAGTTTAAGTATATTACATAAAAAGGGTTACCTTTATCAAACAAAATTCTAATCTTGTCAAAAATCAACATCAAGTTTGATAAGACCCATTTTACTTAAAATCATGTTGATTTGCATCCTTTAGGTCTTTATTGACTATCCCATATCAGTCTTTCCATGAATTTACCCAGGACTGATTTTGTGCTAACCAGTTATAATTACCCTGGTCGTCTTTTTAAATATTGGCACGTTGGCTGTTTTCCATCCTCTGGAACACTGAAGAAGTTCCAAAAAGTGTTAAAAATCAACATCAAAAGTTCAGAGAACTCTTTGGCCAGTTCTTTTAACATTCCTGAGAGCAAGTTACCAAGTCAAAAAATATTTACTAAAAATTAATTTAATAGTTGCTGTTTAGTATTTCCCCTAGTGATGGAACAGAAAATATATCATCACTATAAGATATGAATACATCCTTTTCCCCTCCCCCTCCACCCAATTTCCTGAAGTGCGCTAGCAACTGAATTCTGGATAGAAAATGTGGGTGTCAACAGAGAGCAGAAAAAGCAATCGATCTCAGAAATATAAAAGAAAGAAAAAAGTAGGCTAACAAGTAAACCTATGAGTGGGAAAAAATGTTCAAATT